ATCTTAAGACACTAGTGTACACAAATTCCATTAACACTGTAGAGGAATTAAGCGAAAGGATAGTTGCAGCTTGTGAATAAAAAACACTCCAGGGATATTTCATGAGAAGGAGGGCGGAAGCATGCATACTAAGTGAGGGGGGCCATTTTCAACAATTTTTGTAATCATTTCGTTGGTTTTAATGTTATGTTTATGTTGTCAGTTGTTGTGTTCATTACCCCTAATGCGTTTAATTTTTCCAATTAAATTAATTATAATTTTTCCAGTTAGACAATAGAACTTCTTTTATTTTTTACTCAAAAATGGCGCATCGAAGGAAAACAATTCAAATAGATCATTTGTTTTAAATTGAACGGGGAATTAAATAATAATTTTTATTTGGCAAAAAACTATTGGCGTACCATTTATTTCTTAAAGAATATCGAAGTCAATATCCGTACGCACGCCACTGTTAAAGCTAAACATTGAAAACTATGCAACTTTATTAACTTTCACTACGTACTAAATATCAGAGAAATATCTGAAGCGGTTCTGAAAATATTAATTAATTTCCGTTTTTTTTTCCTAAAACTTCAACACCCCGAGTTTTTTGAGGAAATATTTTTGGACCATACGTAGTTTATAAACCAAACTAACATAAATTTTTCGTGTAGATTCACACCCTCAAAAATTCGCATATGATTAAAGAACACCCTGTATAGGCATGGCTTCATCTACGAACCCATCGTCGATTTTGCAATCAACTGTCATGTCAAGTATCAAAATCACCACCGTCAGCGTCATGTCGGCAACAGCGCAGCCTGCCATCGCCCCACTCAACCTGTGACCGTCAAGCGATATAGACATTTTATTTTGCACTAGCTGTTACCCGAAACTTCGTAAGCATGAAACTGTAAATAAAATAAAACATTGTTTTTAAGTAATGCTATCACTTTCCGATCACGTTGTGTATCTTGGATGGCATCAGTAAATTGACAGTTAACTTACATGCTTGGGAGATTGGGTTACTTTATTTGTGGCGCCACTTTACAGTGGAATATTTTCAAACAACTTCAGAACTGTATTATCATTTGTTAACAAATAAAGATTGTAAAAAAAAATCCCCTACAAACAATCTTTGAAACGTTGTAATATCATGTTCCTACCAGCGATATTATTTCCGCCGCTCTGAATCAATTTTGAAAATATAGGACTACCTAAACGATGGAAATATTAAACTCGCGATAATATTCCAACTACGGTTGCTTAAAGATATCTGCATCACCCAAGTCCGTGTTTCTCATTTATGTCGGTTTGTCAGTCCGTATCTGTTGTGTATCAATACATCATAAGTACTGAGTCAGTGTACTTGACGAAATATTCAGAGAACCATCATAGACGGAATATATACAGCTTAGGAAAAACCATTGTTATACATGGGAAATCATTTCTTGCCAACAGCGCATCGACTCGTCTACTTTCATCGCTGTTCGTACATATTTCCTACCGTTAACCGCAGACCTGTATCACGAATGAGAATAATAGGCAGATACGCTGTGTTGCTAATTTGAGTAGAGCTTCCCGAATTGTGGGGAATTTAGAGTTGAGTGTTGATTCATTCAAGCTTTTAATCAGCATGGCCTAGACGTTAGAACTTCATAAAGATAACATTGAAGCTGAATGCTGCTGGAGTATAGTGTTTCGAATATTCAAAGCGGAGCGGGACACTATACTCGTTCAATGGGTCATCAAGCCACAGTCTTTTCAACAAAGAAATTATTTTACGAAAATGCGTTATATTTTTACGATTTTGTCGTCACCGAATCTCTGTTTCTCAAAATGTACGTCTATTGTAGAATTTTCAGCAAACTAAGCAAAAAACGTGATCTAGTATTTACTCAACATTACGGATTTCTCGAAATACATTAAAAAATGTGACCTAGATACCTAACTGCCCCAAGCTCTTTAAATATAACACCTTAAACCAGGGTTACCAGGTGCTCAGTCACGTTGATTGTCATGTTGTACTGCGCAAGTCAGCAAACAATCTGGCGTAATAAACGTTAGGAATCATCAGGTATTGCCAGATTCCCGAATACCGGGCACCATAGTAACCGTTATAGTTGCCTTCAAAGTGGTCAAATCGCCCCTATGGCGCAAATTCGCCACACCAGGCAACTGTGCTATAAACAAACCCTGTTTATCACTACTATTTGATAGTCATATGGTAGTTGTAGCCCTATCTAGCGGTCCATGATTTCTCTTAATCCTGTTGTATCTCTACTGGCAACAGAATAACGATTACAAAATCATTTATACAACAATATACAAACATGAAAAATATGATTTGAACCATGAAACATTAATACAATTTAATAGTTTGAACTTTTTTCATTTTTGGAATACTCTTATGTGGAATCCGCAGCTATTTTTCCCGAAATTTGGGTAGACTTAGATTTCTTAGAAATATGACATATTGGTATCGGCAACTCTGCGAATGGGAGAAACAAATCGCATTTGTTGAGCGCATCCGTCTAAGCGGTAGGCGCCAGCGCCCGTTCTGACATCTCTCTCTTTTATCACTCTTCTACTTTACCCCGTTGTCCGTCACACTCCGATGCTGCCACATAGAATCCTACAATCGAGTGTCTTTCACGCACCTACATACTTTTGTATATTTCCATCTCTCTTCCTCATCATAAGGTATAATAATGTTTTTTCCCAAGGTGTATATATGTTATACGTATATGAGCAGTAGTCATTGCCAAAGCCAACGACTAGTTGGGTACAAAATACAATTACTTGTTAATTGGGAAATTGGCAAAACTTTTAGGCTCTTTGGCGATAAAATCAAGCTTTCGGGATTCTCTATGGAGCCATCATCAGAATTCTGAAAACACAATTGTGATGCTAGCAAGGAAAACAGGACAGATTAAAATGTCAGCCAACTTACTCGTCGGTGAGGTTGCAGCCACAAGGTGTTTCAGAACGTAAAGAAGATCGAACTTATGTTCAGTATAAAAATAAAGGACGGGGACATGGGGCTTGTTGAAAAACGACAGATACCTTCGTTAAAAGTTAAGAAAAAATAAAAATTATATCAATACACCCGAACAAGTTAAAAATATTTCACGTGGGGAGACATTTTATTGAAACAATCGGAATGCAGTCCTTAACCTTCTACTACCGCTACAAGTGGAGAGGGGGAAGGCACGGAACGGTAAAGCGTCGACAGAAGACAAGTGATTGACGCGACGGACCGTGGAAATGTACACCTCCCTGTCCAACTTTGGGTATGAAGTATACGAGGGACGCTCGGTAATCTCCACCCAAATTTACTAAAATGCTGGAATAACTTGTTTTGGAAAAGAGTGTGTGATTCATATGACTGCAAGAATGTGTGATATTGATACAACCTTGAAAAGATGGGTTATGTGAGTTTATATTAAAAATGTGAGTGAGAAAATGTATTCTAATTTTGTGAAGATGTTGGATCAATTTGGACATGTAGCGTTCTAGCTTTTCGCAATTCAACAGGTAGGAATAAATGTCACTGAGCTGCCTTCAGCCTTTTTATTCATGCAATGTTCTGTCATGAAAATGTGGGACATTTCTAAAATAAACGTTTTGAGAGTCTTTTTTCTTATCAAAAACCTCAATACTGCCATAATTCATAGAGTGACCTGTGTTGTTAATATGCGACGCCAAAGCACATCTTTCTGGATGTAATCTGGCATCACTTTTGTGTGACGTTATCCTGCCTTTCAGCGACCTAGAAGTTTGACCTATATAAACTAAATTGCAGTTGTTGCAATTAATACGATAGACAGTATGGTTGAATCAAGCAACTGAACCTTATCTTTCATTTGGACAACAAACTGTTGACTGTGAGAACTGATTTACAAGCAAAACGACAATTACAGGGATTATACAGCCTGATCAATTTTGGTGTTAGTTCTTTTTGCCATACATCATTATTTATATAATTTTATTTTTTGTTAACTTTTAACGAAGGTATCTGTCGTTTTTCAACAAGGCCAATGTCCCCGTCCTTTTGTTTTTATACTGAACACAAGTTCGATCTTCTCTACGTTCTTTCTGTAACACCTTGCGGCTGCAACCTTACCGACGAGTAAGTTGTCTGACATTTTAAATCTGTCCTGTTTTCTTTGCTAGCATCACAATTATTGTGTTTTCAGAATCCTGATGATGGCTCCATAGAGAATGCCGAAAGCTTGGTTTTATCGTCAAAAGAGTCAACTTAAGCCTAAAAGTTTTGCCAATTTCCCAATTAACAAGTAATTGTATATATATATATATATATATATATATATAAATTAAATGTTAGACGAAGTGGGTGGTACCTTCAAGGATCATAAAATTCAGAATAGTATTTGTGTAGATATAAAAACAGACATCATTTACAAAAGCATCCCAGAAGGTTAAAGTGGTACGTACGGCTAAATATTATAATATTTATTCTGTAACGGTGTGTCAGTGATGACACCACCGCAAACCAGTTGAAGTTTGTTACTTATTGCACAGTCGGCAGTTATTTCGAATTATGAGCACGTTACATCGGACTACTTTCATCCAATTTTCTCATTGTTACCGGAATCAGAAAGCTTCTTAATGATAGAACACCTTTGACTAAAAACGTTAACCCCTATGACCCCCAATCTCCAAGTTTCAACCCCAACAAATTTTTTTCGGAAAGTGATCAAAAAAAGAAGTTTAACCCTCGGGAGGACGCGTCAGCGGCAAAAAGCAGCACAATTATATTTTGGCCTTATAGAAACAATATCAGTGCACCGATTCGGTTGCTTGTTTAGGTATTCCTCGTTCGGTCGATTTACCTCCACCTATAATATGTATGACCATCTCGCGGCTAGAGGCTCAGTTAGTACAAGACTTTGATTGGTGACGTGTCAAATTTGCGCTGTATTTACCGCGGCGCGCCTCATCATGTAGGTCTAGGTCTAGGTCGCGAAGATTTTTAATCCCTGAAGAGTTAGCTGCAGAAGTGGAGCAAGCAATGAAAGAATTTGAACAGGAAAGGGCTGAAGAAGATGATCCAAGTGAGTCGGAATCCGCATCAGATGATATAGTGGAAGAAGACCAATATAGCAGCGATTGTGAACAATCTGAATGTGACAGTGAACTTGGGAGACGTCTTCCAACAGCAAGATGATGACCAGTTCTTTATAGGAAAAGATCAAGAGACGATTTGGAAAAGTACTCGTCTACCTTCTGCATCAAAAAATATCATCAAATTACTACCAGGTCCCAGAGCAGCCGCTAAAAATACTCCCAAAGAAATAGATGCTTTCAATGTATTTATCACAGAAGATATGATCGAAGATAATACTAACATATATATTCAAAAAAAGAGGTCTGATGTTGAGTATTCTGGGGCCATGGATTGCCGTGATACCACAAGAATTGAAATCAGAGCTTTGTTTGGTGCTCTATATTTTATCGGCAGAAAAAAAGGAAGGCACACAAACTGTTGCGAATTATGGGATTCCAATGATGGTCACATGGTTACGTGCATTATTCAGCTACAAAAGATTCAAATTTCTTCTTCGAGCCCTTAGATTTGATGACTTGGATTCTAGAGAACAGAGGAATTCAAGTGACAAGCTTGCACCAATTCGTGACTTTCATGAAACATTTGTGAGTAACTGCATTGCTAATTTCATTGTAAGTGATTTCGTGACGATCGACGAAATGCTACATCCATCTATCTTCTCAACAAGCCTGCCAAATATGGACTTAAAATATATGCACTATGTGATGCCAAGACATTTTACACATATAACTTCGAAGTCTATTGCGGAAAACAACTGCCAGGTCCTTACTTGAAGTCCAACAAACCAGATGACATTGTCAAAAGATTAGTAGTTCCGATTGAGGGTTCAAAAAGGAATATTACTACTGATAATTATTACAGTAGCTTTCCATTGGCGGAATATCTCCTACAAAAGGAAATTACTTTTCTTGGAACATTGAAGAAAAATAAAAGAGAAATACCTTTTGAATTCTTGGCTCGTAAAGATAGAGATATTAATTCGAGCATTTTCGGCTTTCAATATGATTGTTGTTTGGTTTTAACTGTGCCAAAAAGAAACAAAGCTGTGATTTTCCTTTCAACAGTGCACAATACCAGTGACGTAGATGAAGTTACCAAGAAGCCTGTGGTAAATTTAGACTAGAACGCCACAAAGGGGGATGTCGATACTGTAAACCAGATGTGCGCATCCTACAGTACATCAAGAATTACGAGACGTTGGCTTCTTTCTTTATTTTATTGATATCTTGATCTTGCTGCTATAAATGCCCGAGTTGTTTTTATGTTCAACAATGTTGAAAATAAGGACCGAAGAAGATTATTTTTGAAAAAACTTTCCTCAGATCTTATGAAAGAGCATTTAGAAGAAAGAAGTTCAATTAAAACGCTGCCTAAAGATATTTGTGCTTATTTGGAAAAATATAAGAGAAACAATGAGATGGAACCCACTACTGTACTACCTGGTATTTGTTTTCTTTGTGGAAAACACAAAAATAATAGAACAAAACTTACATGTAAAATATGTAAAAGAAATGCTTGCAAGAAGCACAGCAGTATAAGTATAACATGTAATGAGTGTGACGATAATGTGAATGAAAATATGGATATTAATTAACCAGATAATTTAAGTTGTTTTCTGTGTTTTCATTTTACTGTACCCTTTTATTCACTTTAACTTTAGCGGTTTATTTTAGAGCGTTTCAAATATAATAACCAGCTATACCTTTAATATAAATGTAAAATTTTTTTAAAACTAAAGCATAAAGGTCAAAATTCTGAATGCGGTGCAAAAGCCGCAGTGCGCCCACTCATGAGAGTTGACAAGGCGCGCCCGCCGTAGGGTTAAGCAATTTTAATTTCCCCCGGGTTTTTGCCCTGAGCTCCATCACTATACCGATTTTTAGAAACTACAAAGCTTTTTCATCCTGTCATAATAGTAACCCTGTGTGAAAATTTTATCAAAAGCCGAGCGGACAGACCGACGGAAATGAGTGACATGGTTTTTCGTAAAATACATGCCATGTAACATCAAAAAAAAAATCTCAATTTCGAAATTTTTCGCGATTACAATATTTCATCGCTAGTCTTGGTATACTAGGTAAAATGATAAAATGTGCAAAACCACCGTTTTTAACAAAAAATTATGATGAAACAACCAGACGAAAAGGATTAAGAATACTTCGTCAAACAGACTGTTGCAAAAAAGAATGAGTACGTTAATAAAACATTTTTACCAAAAAAGACATGTTGAATAAATATGGCCCGTGTGGTTTTTGAAGTGACAGATTCAATAGAATAACCTTTTTGCTTTGGTTTTTTAGCTAACGTTACCGCTGATGCATCACTTTGAAAAGATTGGTAGACAACCGACCGAAATAAGTGACCTGTATAGTTGGTAAAATTGAGTAGTATACAGGATATTCCTGACACACCCAGAGCGAATTGCATAATTTCCGTTAGCAGATTAACTTAATTTGATGTGCAGTGGGAAGCAGTAAAAGTTATAAGCTTATTTGAGCTTGCGGCAATCTCAGTTACGTATGGACGGGGTTGCCTTCAGGTCGGAATCAGAAGTTATATCACGCAATATACGACTTAATCTCAAATTCCGTTGTTTGTTTGCATGGATTCATAGCTCACAGTCCATAGGTAGTAAGATGATACTATCCATTCAGAGTTTGTACGTGGGGATGCGGTACTCAAAATGGTAGCAAATGAATTTATGAAGTACACTAATCACACAAATATAGTATTGAGAGTAATTGATACAACCCTCTCATCAAAGTGCAAGCTTTTTCTTTGATAGAGCGCCAAATAATCAATGTAATGAACAATTCAATGAAAATGGTTGTATTTTTAATGGAAATAACTCAAATAGTTTAAAAATAATTCATCAAAATGTGCGATGCCTTAGTAACAAACTACTTGAGCTTGAAGTGTTTCTAAATGAAAATAACTGTGATATATTTTGTGTTTCTGAGCACTGGGCAAATTCTGACCAAATTATGTCTTTATACATATACTTTATCTGAAGTCACTTGAAATAGCATAAAAACCTTTGTAATTTCATGACGTATCATAGGCGTGCGGTCATTTATTTAGAACGATAATAATAATGTTTTTATATCACAATAAATGGATTTTACTATCTTCTTATTTTTTTGATTTGGGATAAAAATACTTATATTGGGAGTTTAATTTATGTTGACTGAAAGTTAAGAAATGGAAAAATTACAGAATTCCAACGTTTGACATAGGCAAATATTTACATAGCAGGTAGGTATATAAAAAGGTATATAAAGACTTACATTATAGGTATTTATATATCATCCTCGCCTTCGGAGCTGTCGCTAGAGTCATCTTGTAGAGGAATTACAACGGGATTTACAGGAGGCAAAACACAATATTCATTTTCTTTTTCAATAATATGCCTAGAACACTGCTTCCATAGGTCTGTGGCAGCAATATGAGATACTGCATCTCTTATTGTGGCCAATAGCGATTCACTTAATTGAGGGGTCTGATTATGTTTTCTTACTTTTTTTTTAAAGCAGCCCAGACCAACTCAATCGGGTTAAAAATGCAGTAATAGGGAGGTAGACGTAATACTTCATGGCCATTTTGCTGAAGCAGATTGTCAACAACATACTCTTTTTCAAATTTTTGTCTTTTAATAAGATCCAATAATATGGCTTTGGTTGATTTTTGTGGTATTTCCATTCCCTTATCCTTCATAGAATCAATAATGTCTTGTTTTTTTGTGCCTGTATTCGGAATTTTGTTTTTCTGTCGGGAATGGTATGGCGCATTGTCCATAATAATCACTGAATTTGGGGAAATGTTTGGTATTAACTGCTGCTCTATCCACTTCTCAAATAAGTCGGAGGTCATGTCCTCATGATAGTAGGCACATGATTCTTTGATATTTTTGGCAGATAACAGCAAGGCATTAGGTATAAATCCATTTTCGCTGCCAGCATGGAGAATAATGATTCGTTTTCCACGGTTGCATGGTGCATTTAAAATGCACTTGTTGCTGTCGTCAACCCAGCCGTACTGCAGAACATCATAGGTATCATACCACGTTTCATACAGGTAAATCAGATTTCTTTTCTGCTCTCTATAGATTTTAACTTTGTGCAAAAATTCTTGGCGCAATTCAACGATTCGAGACGACTCCATAATCACCATTCTTTTATCTAATTTTTTGTATTGAAAACCACACAGTTTTACAATACAGTGCAGTGAGTCTAAGCATTTGTAATTATAAAAATCTTCAGGATAATCTTTTAATTTATCCCGTATCATTTCCAACGTGGGCACCAAATTTTCTTTATAAAATCCGTATATTATACTACGAATATCTTCCTGAAAACCTACGTCTATTCTTTTTAATTTTTGCCCTATGCGCTTTCTGTGGAAGGAATGGTTGACTACATCTCCCCTTTTTATAACCCGATAAATGGTCGTCCGACTGATTTTTGTCAGGATACAAATTCTGTTTAAAATTTGATTTTGCGAGGAATCTGGATTTTCGTTTTTCAGACAATCATACATATTTAGGATTACTCTTTGGGTCTGTTCCTCTAAATCTTTATGAAAGAATTCTGCCTGCACAGGTTCATCAACCATCTCGTCGTGGCTTGGAGCATTTTCCCAAGGTCTCCAAAGAGCCATATTTAGGACACACAAGAACAATCAACACAACAATTAAATCAACAAGTAAACTGAGTATTCAAAAGTCAAAAACACACAAACTAATAAAATCTATGAAAAAACACGGACAGACTAAAGAAAACACGTTTATTCACCGCTACACGGCACTGGCTAAACTGTTTCAATTTTCAGTAGCCACCTGCACTTGTTCGGAGCTCTGAAATACACGCTTTCTCATTGGCTATGTCCACGCATAGGCGTGCTTTACTCCACGTGGACCGGTGAAACTGCCTTTGATCTTATACGGGGGATATTTGCTGCGAAATTTTGCGATTTTTGCAGCAACAGAGCATGTTAAATATAGATATATAAAACGCACCCGGTATTTCACAGTGTTTCAAGTGACTTCAGATAAAGTATACACGAGTACATTTTAGCAACTCCATACTGTAGAAAGCTTTTTCATCATGGCGGGACATGTATATACCTCAAAGCAGGACTAGAATACAATAATCTAGACTATTTGAATGATATTTCAGTTGATAAGCATTTCGAATGTAGTGGAATTCAAGTTATAACCGAAAACGTCAATTCGGTTATTGTTTC